AACGGGATTGATTTTAGGATTTTTCGAAAGTCGGGACGATTTCTGAACTCAGGAACCTCTCTTGATTTTGCCATTTATACATAAAGGCATTGGAGACATTTCATATGCATATACATATATGTGTATCTATATAAGTTGGAAGATATTTTGTGGGACTTGGATGGCATTGTAAAGGATGTAGGAGGGCAAGAGGGTAACTTACCTAGAATTAGTAATCACCCACAAGGTGACACTTGGCATGTTGTGTCATGGAACCAAATACAAGATAAGGCCAACACCCCAATTTCCTCTTCATGCTCTGCCAACACTCTTTCTCTAACCCTTTTATTTCTCTCTCTATATTTATCTATATACATATACGTTCTCCATTGTTTAAGCTTAGATTTGAGAGGGTTAGTGTAACAACCCACTCCACCATATGGTATGATTTTGTTCGCTTTGGGCCTGAGCCTGCACGGTTTTTCTCTTTACCTCAAAAGGCATCATAATAATTGGAGATAACACCACTACATATAAGCACGTCACATTTCCCTTACCCAGGCGATGTGGGACTGTGCACCCGTAGCTCGCCCAGTGTAGTAGCCTACCAGTGCCTCGCACCCGCCCACAAGGTCGCCACAATCACCCCCATTATGGCGACCTTATGGGCTGGTACGAGGCACTGCTAGGCTACCACACTGGGCGAGCTACGGGTGCACAATCCCACATCGCTTGGGTAAGGGAAAGGTGACGTGCTTATCTGTGGTGGTGTTATCTCCAATTGGTATGAGGCCTTTTGGGGTAAAGCCCAAGAGTAAAACCGTGCAGGCTAAGGCCCAAAGTGGACAATATCATACCATGTGGTGGAGTGGGTCGTTACAAATGGTATTAGAGCCTGATCTAGCCGGAAGTGTGGCCAACGAGGACGTTGGGCCCTAAAGAGGGGTGATTGTGGCAACCTTGTGGGCGGGTGCGAGGTACTTGCAAACTACTATACTGAGCGAGCTACGGGTGGACAATCCTACATCGCCTAGGTAAGGGAAAGGTGACGTACTTATATATGGTGGTGTTATCTCCAATTGGTATGAGGCCTTTTGGGGTAAAGCTCAAGAGTAAAACCATACGGGCTCAAGCCCAAAGCGGATAATATTATACCATGTGGTGGAATGGGTCGATACAGTTAGGGTGAGAATTTGAAAAAGGCCAAGAATGGAAAATTGAAGAGCATGACAATGGCTACATTTTGAGACCAATGGTGCAAGGGTTAAGAGAAATTTGAGATTTGGGGATAGGCTTAGGGCTTGTTTGGCTTGGCTAAGGACATATTTGGTTAGCACACATGGGGTAGGGATTCCTAATGTTCTATACTTTTCCTTTTGTTGAGTAATCTTCTTTTGATTCCTTACTTAACTATGTTAAATGCAAGTTTAATAAATGAATTGATAATCGAAGAAGATGTGATGAAAGCATGCTAGTCTTTGATGTATAAAATGTTTCCTGTCCATGTTAATGAAATGTTGTCATTGAATAGTTGAGGAATTACCTAAATGTACCAAGGCATTAGCATGATTTTGTTGATATGATTTATATGGGAAGCATGCATGTTATTAAAGTATTGAGAATTCTATACTTGTGTTTAAAATTATAAAGAATGCCATGTTGATGTCATTGCTAGTGCTTATTTGAGAATTGAAGTTGCATTGATACAATTAAATTATATGCATGACATGGTGGGAATTTAAATGAGAAGGAAATTGGGGCATTTTAGAATGGTAAGGAGGTTGAAAAGGATTGAGAAGTTAGCCATCTTAGGATGGGCGGGAAAGAGAAAGTTAGAAATAGACTGGGTATCGCGAGCCAGGTGCTAACTTGATCTAGAGAGGGTGCGGTCAAGTTTTTTTTTTTTTTTTTTTGAAAAAGTTAATACTAGGCCCCAAATGGCCAAGAGGCTAGGGATATTGTCAATCCTGGCTCAGTAAAGTCGGTTAGCGTAGGTGGGGATTGGGGTCGGTTAAAAACCCAGAATGAGAATAGGCATGCATTGCATTTGCATTCATGGAGTGCAAAGTTATATTTATACCATTGATTGGATTGGAATGTGGTTTAAATTTCATAAAATTCCCAAGTATGATCCCAATTTCCTTTTATCCGGTATGTGTGATGTCCAAAGTTGGTGCCTTAGGCATCTCCTACTGAGCCTTCATGCTCACCCCTTCCTTTAATATTTTTCAGGACATGGTAAGGAGATCGTGGACGATGCACCACCACAAATGCAGTTAAAGTTAAGAAATAAAGAAAAAATATATATATTTTTTTGTATTTTATGTATCGATTCTTATATGAATGATGGTGGCATGTAATTGATTGTCAATTCTATATAATGGCATCGTAATAGTGATCGTGGAGGATTTAGTTTGAAATCATATTTTATTGGGATAATTGTATATATTTTAGACATCAATATAATAAGTTTACGTGCCAATGAAGATGTGTTAAGGTCACTATATTAATGTATGTATGATTAAGGTTATTTTGGGATGGTTTGAACTACTTTGGAGTGTGCATGGACCAATGTTCCATATAGGAACCAAACCACAGTTTTGTAAGAGCATTTGGCCATTTTACAGGCTGGTGCTCGAGCATAAACTTTTGTGCTAGAGCATATGGCCCTGGCCGAGAATTAACTACAGTAGGGTGGTCAATGCTCAAACACAAGGGGTTTGTGCTCGAGCATTAGGGTGAATTTGGTGAGATACTGAGAGAAACTCTTGGGACTTTTCATTGTAGGTCCTAGAGCTCGAGCACAAACTTTTGTGCTCGAGGTTGAGCTTGAGCACAAAGTGGTCTGACCTTATACTTACGTTAATCTAAACTTCAAATGCCATAACTTTTCATTTTGAACTCGAATAGGGTCGTTCGTGAGTCTAACTTGCATGTTTTTTAACCATCTTTATAATGGTATCAGTTCCATTCCATAATTTTGACATAAAAGACCATTTTACCCTTGTCAACCCTTGGGGCCTAGGGTGAACCCGAGGTCAAGGTTATCATTCTTCCAGTATTCGATTTGGTTAAATATGATTGTTATGCCATCATTATGACTCCTGACATATAGTTAGGTGCATAATGACCATTTTGCCCTTGTGTGTTCCCGGATCATTTTAGGACACGGTTAGCGATCTGGACCCCGGGTTTGGGTTGTTACAGTTCTCCTACCCTGTGGCGGCTTTTAAGGTTTTGAAAATTGAAGATTCTAATTGGTGGTCCATGGAGATGGTTTCTATACCAACAATGTTGACATCCTTCCTCTCCATGAGTAGCTAAAGCATCCTTAGGGAATTGATGTAACCCTAGTCCGAGTAACATGGTTTGATTGTTCTTTAACTTTGGGGGATTTTTATGTGTTTATTGATTGCATGGTTTTGAGCAATTGATCTAGTTGTAATAAGCAATTGGGTTTTAATGAATAAAATTAGTTTTAATGAAATTAATCTCTTGTCTTAGAATTAATCTTGTTATAATTGAATTCGACCCTTCTATTGTGAGACATTGACGACTAAAGGCTTCTCTTAATGGTAGAAGTGGTTATCATGCAATGGTGCTTAAGCAACTATATGAATGAATGTTTTGATAATTCATGCCTAGGGAGACAAGTTGTACTGTATAGTATATTAGAGTAGTTAGGTAGATAATTCGTGATAGCTGAAGATGAGTTATGGCTTAGTGTTTATTCGTATCCCATGTTATGAGGCTAGTATTGAAGTTAATCCCTAAGTCATAGGGTAGAGTGGATTTATTATTATTATTATTTGGTCATTGGTAAGAAATGTAGACACACCACTCACACATGGACTTTGCTCTTTTGGAGTTTCGAACTCTCACCATCCACTTTGAGGATAGATGACAACGAAATACCCTTATACTACGTTTGGTGTACAGGAATGGAATGCCTATTCCAACCATTCATTTGTTTGGTGTGTAAAAATGGAATGGAATGACCATTCCATTTAAATGAAAATCCATTCCAGGGAATGAAAATCCATTCCAATACTAAACCTATGTAATGGTCATCCCATTCCATAGTAAGATTAAATATTTTTGTAATATTCCCAATAAGCCCTTCATCACATTCTAATAAGGCAAAAATCTTTCGCATAGACAAAAAAATCTCACATTATATTTTTCACGTTTCTTGAGCTTCTTTATTAGACGTGGTAAAGGTCTTTCACCTTCCCTCTCTTCTGAATATACCCAGGGCTGCCATTGACAGAAAGTTGTAGGACCTTCTTTTTTTTTTTTAATATATTATTGAGATTGATATATCATTAAATATGTATATATATATATATATATATATATATATATATATATATATATTATTTTTTAGCCTTTACATTAGTTTTTAAGGTTAAGTATTCAACCCGTTTTTGGATAAAATTGTACTGACAAATTTATTTGTGTGTCTTCAATCATGGTGGATTGGTTTAGTTGTAAAACTTGAATATGTCTAAGATTTAAAGCCAATTCTAGAACACTATTGTGACCATGGGGCTGGGAAGTGGCTACGGTTTTGTGCTTGCGTCTTTTGGAAATTTAGATATTTTCTCTTTTGCAGTCATTTATTAAGATTAATATCTCATTAAAAATAATATTTTAAGGTTTTTCTTTATTTTTTTAATGGCAATATTGTGCATCTTATAACATTCCATTATTTATTGTCAGAATATTAATTATATTGATTTTATTAAAAAGTAATGTAGAATTTTTAAGAAAAATTATTCCATTTCAGATTTAATGATAGTCAATCAAACAAATAGAATAGTAATAATTATTTCATTCTATAACGTGTCCCAAACAATGGAATGAGACTAAAATCCCATTGTCATTCTAAGTTGCACACCAAACTTGGCCTTAAGGTTTCACTGCATGAGGAAAAAATTTGCAATAAGTTATATGAAGTGGGTCCTCATCACGGAAAAAATACTGTAACTTTAGGGCAAACCAAAACGCTATTTTATGTCTCATTGTTCACTGCTTGTGAGATAGACGCAGGGCACCCGAGCGGGGAAACTCCAACCAACAAATCTTCTTGTTGTTCACCTATCTTTTTCTCTCTACATCTGTACCTATATCTATAAATCTCGTCAGGCAAGCCTTCTCTGCTTCTTCATTCTCGCTCTCTTACCTACCTATTTTCAGTTCATTGTTCACTTTGAATGAATCAAGGGTTTGAGATTAAAAAGCATCAATTCAAGTTAATTCCTTTTGTTCATTTCTATGTCGTGTTTGTGCATGTTTTGTGGTTTAAAATGAATTTAGGGTTTGTTTTCATAACTATGCTAGTGATTTCAGGATAAAAAGGTTCCATTTTTAGGTTTTATTTCTCTTCAGCACATTTTACAGGCATTGCTATTAAGTGGATTCGATTCCTTTCTATTCAATTTGATGACTTGGCAATGTCTGAGTAACAAATCGTCGGATTGATACATTGTTTCAGGGTCGTTTAAGATGACAGAGCCCTCTAAAGTCATTCACGTCCGCAATGTGGGACATGAAATTTCTGAGGTGTACTTAATACTCTACTGCTCTCTTTAGTCTCTACATATAAAATGTACATATTTTTGTGCTTTTATGCTTCTATGGTTTGCTAATTAAAACACTTCTTATAGCAACAATAGGTTGTAGAAAAAACCCATTGAATTTTTTAAATGAATTTTCAATGAATTTCTGTTTAATTCATAGATGATATGGAGACCAACATAGTTTTAATAATTACACCTTTGTTACTAGCACCAATTTACCTGGCCTTTTTTGTTCTTTCTCTTGCTCTATGAATTTTCCTTCTAATACTCTTTTTTTTTATTTTTATTTTTTTAACCAGAATGATTTGCTTCAGTTATTCCAGCCCTTTGGAGTCATCACCAAGCTTGTTATGCTTCGGGCTAAAAATCAGGTCTTCTTTCTTAATTGCTATATGCTAGAGGGAGCTATATCAGTTTGAAACTAAATCCAAATACGTGAATTAAGGGGTTTTTGTTAATTTTTCTGCAGGCCCTTCTCCAAATGCAAGATATTCCTTCAGCTATAAATGCCTTGCAATTCTACACAAATGTTCAGCCGACTGTAAGGTATCATGATATATAAATATACTTCATTTTTTATGTTGAGAGTTTCCCTTACCGGTAAATTTCTTCTGCATCTACACCACTATAAAGGCAACAATCTCTTTTTTTTTCTTGATTTATTTTTCCATCTTCTGATTTGATGGCCTAATTTTTTGTTTTTGTTTTAACCTCTAGGGGAAGGAATGTTTATGTTCAATTCTCATCACATCAAGAACTAACAACTATGGAACAGAATGCCCAAGGACGAGAAGATGAGGTTAGTTCTCTGTAATTAGTATTTTGAAATTGGCTGTTGTTGTGCATAGATGACCCTTATATGGCAAAATGTGTACTTTTTCCTTTGGTAATATAGGAAATATACTAAGTAAGTTAGTAGTGGCCATTTGTTAAAATATTACCTTAGAAGTTTTGCCTGAAAGTTTACCCTCCAGGTCCATAGCTGTTAAAAACATTAGTAAAAGAAGCATTTATTCTTCTTCTTATGGTCATCATGGTTAGGAACTTAGGATTGCCTTATTTGTGCGAATATTCACTTAATGTAACAAGATGTGATATTACTTGATGGTCTTTATAAGCCTTTTTGTATGCATGTGGACCGTATTTGTAGTCTTGTTCGGGAGGAAGCAACAGTTATTCTAAAATTTAATTTCAAGGCCCAAAGGGCCTTTTTTTTTTTTTTGGCCAAGGTGGAATCTATGCTTGTATTTTTTTTGTCTATTGTCAAATAACAACATTCTACATCATTAGCTCCGACTGAGTTTCACCACTTGCTATATACTGGTCATATACTCCTATCCTGTTAGATTTGCTGTCTAATTACCAATCTTAAGAGAGAAAAAAGAAGAAGAAGAAGAAAGAATTGGAAGTTCTGTTTTAGAACTCTTGTTTGATTGCTTGGATAAAGAATACTATGATCTCTTTGAGGGTTTCAAAGCATATAGTCTACAAGGCGAATAGCCTTTAGTTTTTTTAAGTCATTATAACTACATAGGATGCAGTTTCAGGTCCTCAAATTGTTTCTTTCTCCTCCTGAAATGTTGATTTACAGTTCTTTGTTCTTGTTACGGGATTTATGCATAGAGAACACCTCCTCTCTCTCTCTTGCTCTCTCTACATATATATACTCTTGATACCGTGTTGCTATTCCAATCGTCTTATATAATTAAGTTTTGACTGTCTTGCTTTCTCTCTCTCACTCATTATTTGTATCTTGTTTAGTAGTTTAGTGCTCTGTATATTTTCGTGGTAAATTAGTATTTCATACACTAGCTTATATTTCTGTATTGGTTTCTTCTTTTCTCCATCTATTCTTCTCTATTCATTCTGTTTCTCTTCTCTCTGTCCTGTCTCTATGCTGGTCTGCTGTTGGGCACTCTCTGGATACACAGCCTAATCGAATTCTCTTAGTTACAATTCATCACATGCTATATCCTATAACCGTGGAAGTGCTGCATCAAGTTTTTTCTCCTCATGGATTTGTGGAGAAGATCGTCATATTTCAGAAGTCAGCTGGTCAGCTTCTTCAAGTTTTCTCTCTCTCTCTCTCTCTCTCTCTTACTGTTTCTAATTTTAACTCTCATATAACTTATGAATGTATCTGTATGTTTTTGCCAGGAAGATCCTTTCATATTTTATGCTTTTATGACCTGCATATTGTATTATTCTCATTTAGTTAATTTTTGAGATGTGGAATGTCCATACGTTTCCTATTATTTCTGGGAATATTTCGTGGAAAAAAATGATACATTATCTTGTGCAAAGATGCACACAAACAAAGAGTTAAACCGGTCTTGATAGTTTTATTTATCGCTGTATGCGGATTTTGTAGGTTTTCAAGCCCTTATCCAGTATCAGTTACGCCAGAGTGCTGTTTCAGCAAGAAACTCTCTTCAGGCATGTAGTTAGTATTGTATCAAACAAGTTACGTTGATGTAGAGTTTTATTGAAGGTTACTCATTGGTTTGGCTTCTTGGAAGAATTTAACACTAGGCAACTTCTTTAAAGGGGCGGAACATATATGATGGTTGCTGTCAGCTGGATATTCAGTTTTCAAAGTAGCTTTCTAATCTTTCAACAACTTTTTAATCTTGTTTGTGTTTGGTTGTTTCTTCAACAACTTTTTATTCTTGTGTATGTTTGGTTGTTTTCTTTTCTTTCAACAACTTTTTAATCATTCAACAATTAGTTTTCTTTTTAATCTATCAATAATGGTGGATATTGTATTAATTTAACTTTTTCATGATCCAGCCTCAATGAGTTACAGGTGAACTACAATAATGAGCGGTCAAGGTCTGTTAGCAGTTTAATTTTTATTTTTTAACTATTATTATTATTATTATTTTTAACCTTTCCTAGTTTCATATTTTACTTCTGGAATTTTATAATCTCTTTGGAATCATCCTAATGATGCTGCTATTTTCGTTCTGTATTTTTGCATAGGGATTTCACAAACCCATCTCTGCCTACGGAACAGAAGGGAAGATCCTCCCAAGTATGCATAATTGTCTACCACTATTCTCTTGAAATCATATTTATGATATTCATTGCTTGTTTTGTGTTCTGACATTAAATTTATATCCATTCCTGGTGTACCCCAGCCTGGTTATGGAGACGCAGGAGGTATGTAATATGTATGCCTTTCAGGCTTCTGGAGCTAGAGGAGGTGTTCAATTTGGTAGCTGCATATTTATCTGTTTACTTTTTTTGATATTCATTTGCTGATGTGTGTTCTCTCTATTTTCATGTGTTCCAGTTGGGTTTCCGCAGGTGTGTATTGCTCTGGTCATGTTTTAGTCCAGTCTGAGATGTTCATTTCACAGCTGGGTGATTTATCACCTGCTTGCTTCTGGAGGAAATATTCGGTTGTCTTCAAGCTGACCTCTTTCCTAGTTCCTAAACCTGCTATTTAAATGTGATATACATGTAATATGATTGCATAATTGGTGCCAATCATTCTTGGAGTCCCGCCTTGTTGGTCTCCTTGTTTGCAGCTGGCTCTTTGCATGGCATTTGTTACTAAATTTTTTGTTCTTATTGAGATTCTCTAAAGAAAATAAGGGGCCTGGGTTTGTTTATCTATATCTTGCATCATTGAAGGGCAAGAGTTATGGCTAGGAGGATTCCTAGTGCATGGGACTTTTGCATGGTTTGCATTGATCAGCATATTTCTTCAGCTTCCTGTACTGCTGGGGATTATCCCGTTTGTCTTTATAAATCACAATTTACCCGATGAAGTAATGGATTTTATGTGGAAAGACTGCGAAACTTATGTGTCTGAATTATTATTATTATGCTTATTATTATTATTACTAGTTGTTTTCTTAAATTTTAGATGGGCAATGCTGCTGCCGTTGCTGCCTTTCAAGGAGCTTTGCCTCCCGGAATAAGCGGGACAAATGACAGGTGTACTGTTCTTGTATCTAATCTAAATCCTGATGTAAATTCTCTCTCTCTCTGTGTGGGTGTTTTGGTGTGGGGGGGGGGGGGGGGGGGGGGTGAGACCATTTTTCCTGTACTTAGTATTTCTTTTGGGTTCTGTGGATTGCTGAAGCCCTTTTTCTAATTACAATTTTTTTGGTTCTCTCCATGCTTCATGCTGGGGGGGGGGGGGGGGGGGGGGGGTGGTGGCGGGTTGTGAGACCATTTTTCCTGTACCTGGTATTTCTTTTGGGTTCTGTGGATTGCTGAAGCCCTTTTTCTAATTACAAATTTTTTGGTTCTCTCCATGCTTCATGCTGGTAACCTATCCATCTCAGAGAGTAGACGAGGATATGCTGTTCAACTTATTTTCCATTTATGGAAATATTGTGAGAATCAAACTTCTCCGCAATAAACCAGACCATGCATTAGTTCAAATGGGTGACGGCTTTCAGGCTGAATTGGCAGTACATTTTCTGAAGGTTTGGTTCTTATAACCCTCATGATGTTTAGTTATAATTCTTTTCTTGAGATTCTTTAGTGGTAGCTTTACTTTTTCATTCAATTTGAAGGCAAGGAAACAGAGATAAAGTGAGTTTCTTGGTTTGTGAGAATTTATGTCTTTATGGAAGATGGCTCTGTTATTTAAAAAACGATGCCCCTTCTTCTTTAAGATAGCGCAGAAGTTTTACTGCTAATAAACCCTTCAAGTAGGCTATGGAATTACTCTTCTTTGTCTGAGGTAGCAGGAGAATGAAAGTCTAATCCAACACCTTGGGAAGCCCGGAATTAGGCTATGAAAAACATCAATTAAGTATGCTTATGAATTGCTTAATTGACCTTATTTCCTTATATAGTTATTAGTTGGGAATGATTAATGACTTTACTACCAAATATCTATGTTATAACTTATCTGGAGAACAGTTCTGTCTTTCTTCATATAGCTGGTTTTGCCCTTACGTCTGTCCAGCAACTATATACATATATATTCAGTTGAAGAAATCAAGTGTTCCATAATTTTGAATTTAGTTTATGTGCACTATAAATGATTGTTAACCTAAACAAGATGGAACTTTTGCAGTTTAGGTTTTTCCTTGGGGTTAATGGAGGACCGGTAAGGTGACCATTCCAAGGTAATAGCGAGGAAAAATCTAAATTCTCGTAATTTGTATCCAAGGATTCATTAAAAATTTGATTATGAAATTTCGAAACATAATTTTTGAATTGGGTCAATACTTCCAATTGATTGAGTTTAAGGAAAGGATCCATGAATGAAGATAGAAAAGTATATTTCTAATCATAACTAAATCTTCAATTTTTTCTTTACAAATCAAAAATTGAAGCAAAATCACTATTAAACAATGACTTTGGTTTACTAGAGACATTGACATATTGTTAGCTCATTGTAAACAAAATGCTTTTCCTCAAGATTTTTTCAAATAGAAATAGAGAGGTTTTGACGAAGGATTGGTCGGATTGGATTTATTCATCAAAAGCTGGCCCTAAGAGCCCCTCTCCGACCGAGTTCAAATATTACTCGACTTACCCTAAAAAGTCAACCTTGTAACACGGACACTTCTTTTTAGCATAAGCGTTAGTCAATGATGGAAATCGCTGATGTCATGTACTTATTATTATTAAAATTTCAATATTGCCCTTTGTGTAAAAGAACATCAAAACTATAAAATCATGGGCAATTACAAAAATGCCATCTTATTCTCCGGCCAAGGAGACACTGATTCCACCGCTTCATCTCACTACTAGGAGGTTGAATCCTATAATCTAGACAATTTGTTGATTGCGGGTGAAGAGGTTTAGGGGAGGTCGATGTAAATTTTTAGATGACATTATATAAACATAAATACATGTATATTTATACATAGGGCGAATTGCAAAAAATCCCCCTCGACTATTAGCCGGTTGCGAAAAACCCCCTTATGAATATTTTTGGCAAAAAAACTCCCCTCAACTATCCCAAGGGGGTGTTTTTAACTGATGTCCGTTTAAGTGTTTGAGGGAATTTTTTGGACGAAATTACTCTCTTAACAAATTATTCTTCAGACAATTTATTTATTTATTCTCTCTTTTTTCTATCTCCCTCGAGTAATGTATGTGAAGCAGCAAAGAAAAATTCCCAAAAAGAATAAAAAATGGAAAGCCAATAAAATCATTTTTAAGCTATGTATAATTAATATAATAAAATTGAGTACAATCGCACAGGAGAGAGAAGATCCACCATGGCGTTGGAACAGAAGATGGAAAAATTAAGCAGCTCAAGAACTCCTTCCGTGCACTTGATCTTTAGCAGCCATTATAACAGTTAATTATTTTAAGGAAAATAATTAATAATTTGTCATATTTCCTTAGTTCAATTTCTTTCTTTTCCTTAATTGTAAGTTGGACTAAATTGGCAATTAAAAAGTTACATAATTTCTTTTTCAAATCTGATTTTTGTTTTTTTTAAATTTACTTACTTCGAGAACACGAATACCCCAAAGTAACTTTTTGAGACGAAATTGTTGTACTTGATGTACTCAAGTTAAAGACCTAAAAATATGAAAGTTTTTAATGTGAAAGGACATCATTGCCCTTTATTCAATTCACAAGAATCTAATTATAAAGGATATTTAAGTAATTTAGTTTGAGATAAATGCATTTATCATCTCATCATTTATTGTTTTGATTCCACCACCTACTACTCGAAAATTGTTTTGGTTCCACAATTGGGTTTCTCGATCTGCTGTTAGCTTTGTGTTTGAAGGAATGATAAGGCTTGCTTGACGCGGAGAGAGGAGAGAAAAAACAAATAAATTGTCCGAAAAATAATCTGTTAAGGGGTAATTTTGTCCAAAAAATTTCCTCAGACAACACCCCTTGGGATAGTTGAGGGGGATTTTTTGCCAAAAATATTCATAAGGGTGGTTTTTTGCAATTGAATAATAGTTAAAGGCTTTTCTTTTTTTTTTTTTTTTTTTTGCAATTCGCCCTTGTATATATAAGTTTGGTCGAATTCTAAATTTGAAATAGTTACGTTTGAGTAATAGACAGGGATGGGCAGTTTAGTAACTCATTGTTATTTAATGGTATTTAAGTAAAATGTGCAAATCTGTTAGTTGATTTAACGGCCCGTTACTACTAGGGGTGTCTGTGTTACAAGGTTTGTTTTAGGGGAGGGTCGAGTAATATTTGAAATCATAGGGGAGGTCTGTGTAATTATGGCAAACCTCAAGTGAAATTAGTGTAATTTACCCTTTTTAATTTTAACTAGAGGTGAAAACTCTCACAATAAGGCTATTTTGATATTTAATATATTAATATTAATGCGAGTGATATTATTGAACTCTATATGGAGAAGAGATTTATCTAGTCTCCTCTCTCTATAAGTTTTTCCATATTTGGCTCTTTATGTTTTCTTTCTTTCCCTCTCTTTTTATTTATTTATTTTTTATTTTTATAAAACTTGCAAATAATAATAACCTTTATAATAGACTGTACTAAGATTAAAAAAATAATGGTAAATTACTTTGACCTCCATTAAGGTTTGGAATAATTACGTGCAGAGGAAACTTATGGAAAACTCTTGGTCAATCTCCCTCGAGGTTTTGCCGACTTTTTCACACTTCCCTTGCAATCAACGAATAGTTAAGTCCGTTAAAATTTCTTAGCAAATTCCTATTTTGCTTTTCATTATGTTAAAAGACATTAATAACCTTATTTATCTTTCTAAATTACAATTTTACCTTATATATTAAAATGTAAAAGAATTAACATTTATTTATCGCTTGATTATATTGATATAAATATATATATATATATATATATATATATATATATTTTTTATTAAATATATAATTAAAAGTTAGGGATACTTATTCAATATATGTATATTTTAAATACACCTTTAATTTGTGAAATTCAGAATTTGCTAGATTTGAAAATTATATAGTTCTATAATTTATTAGTAAAATTTAAGCTAAAGTTTTATATTTACAATATTGCAAAATATATAAAAGTTATATTGATTATAATTTTTTCCATAAAAATATATAAAAGTTAAATATATGTATATTATATATATATATATATATATACAGTACAACATATATATGTATATGTCTGTGTGTGTGTGTGTGTGTGTGTGTGTGTGTGTGTAACATAGTAGAAAGGGATTGCGTGAATGGTCCAAAAGCTCTGTTTGGCTGTGACGATTAAAAGCTCTGGCCCTTAATGCCAAGATTGCTGATTTAATATGCAAAATCTTGTTTGGCTACGACAAGATCTAGATCACAAATAGATCTCTTCGGCCAATGATGCCAAGTTTGAAGTCTTGATTCCAACAGCAGACAACAGGGGAAAAATTGAGAACATCGATTGTGGGGAAAACGAGAAGGGGGAGAGGGGGGGGGGGGGGGGGGGGGGGGAGAGAGGGGGGGGGGGGGCATGTGGTGGTGGTTGTATAGGGTGTGGAACTATGGGTCCACGTGGCACCCATATGGACCCCACTTCTGTGACAGCATGACCCAATTCGAGATAGGAGATGCCTTCAGAGGGCACCTCGAGAACGGCCATGTAACCACACTTCGAGTTTGAGAGCTGAACCCTTCCGAGGGCGCTCGAGAGCACTACCTTCAGATGTAGTACCAAGTCGAGACCAAGGTAGGATGGTCTCGAAAGTCTGCATCTTGGGACCTGGAAGGACCTTTGGTTTGGAGGATGAGAGGCCAGAGCTCACCTTACCTATAGGCCTCGTCAATGAGATGATGAATTCACGTGCCTTGAGTGCAGCACTTATAATTACATTTAATGCACTCAGAGCTACCTCCGCTTTTGAGAGGATGTGCATTTAATGCAATAGAGCATCTTCATGAGCTGAAAGACCATTGTGTCCCTTCACCTAAAAAGGTTATGATGGCCTAGTAGAGTAGGCTCGAGCTAGGCAACAAACTGAGACTATAAATAAAGACTCATGCATGCATGAAGTCGGGGATGAACAACTGATAAACAAAACTCATGGCAATCGATATTCCCACATTCATCACAAATCTTATCGGCTAGTGTACCTCTCCTCCTTCCTTCCAAGACTTCTATCCAAGTCTCACATTTTGTATTTAGGTATCACCCCTGCTACTTGTAGCAACATAATATTAAAGAACCCCCACATGAACTATTTCATGGACTCTTCAAAAGTAGTGAAGTACCCGTGGCAGATACATATTACTCGAACATGGGCACTTTTGGTTGGACATTTACTTAAAAAAAATCCTATCCAATCATTCAATTTTATTATATTATAACTTTAAAATTGAATGCCTATATTGAACACTTTGTTACATAAAAACATTACTTTATTGTAGAAAATAAAATAAAATAATGAAATAAAATGAATATTTAGCAGTGTCCACGTGTTCCTCTGTTTGGAGATTTGACACGTCCGACTCATGGAGACATATCCATACCCTACACACGTACCCGAGTTCATGTAACATAGGTGTGGAAGTGTGATTGGAGGGAGGCGGGAGAGACAGATTGGGGCATTTTATCGTTTGGTTATATTAATATATATTTTTTTTCCCTTTTAATATGATCTAGTAAGCAAAGGGCAATTTGTAAGTGAACGTTGAACGTTATAACTGTTTGACCCGTCAACTCTGATAGGGATGTCAGTTATTTTTACAAAGTTCTATTTGTGGGTAATTAACCCAAAGAGCTCAGATTAATTTACCCTAAAAATAAACTATAAACAAAAACCCAAAAGTCTTAAAAACTTTAGAATATAGTATATAATTGTTTATAAGCCTCTTGGGTAATACGCTATTGTTCTAAATATAGTTAAAACTGGTTATTAGAGGTAGTGGTTAGAGAACATTTATACACATGGTCAACCCCCCACCCCCCCCCCCCCCCCACGCGCACAATTGAAGTTTGAAATATAGAGGGAAAGAATTAAAAAGAAGTGAGAAGAAGAAGATGTGAAGGGGTGGAAGACAGTAGTGAAGCAAAAATGCAGATACAAGAATTGTTTTCGTATAAAAATAGTCATAGGACCTACACAACTGAATGAAAACCTTCGTGGTCCCCCTTATTAGTTGTAATTCATAAACTTTTAATTATCTTGTTACTTCTTTCATTTTACTTTTTAGTTTCTCCTTAAGATTCATTATTGATGGTAATATTAAATTATCTTCTCCTTGTTTGTTGTAACTACCCCGTTATTTTTTGTTAGAGTTTTGGCTTCGGTTTGGCTTTGATACCAAGTTGAAGTTATGAGATCGTGCTTTTAAGGTTAGTGAGTTAAGAAGAAGAAGAGATAAAGGAGAAGGGAGAAAAAATAATCGTGGAATTGAAAGATGATGTAATAACATATAGAGCGCTACTCCCCTATATTGTAGCAATCTTGTTTTTCATTAGCGCACCAGGCATATAGGCTGATTGTCATTTATTTGCGATCTATAGCTACATAATTAGATTGTTACTCCCTATATTTGTTTGAACGATCAACTGGACGATATTCTTATAGAACCGTTGGCTGGTCTATGTTTAATGGACTCTTTAAAAGTATTGAAGTACCCGTGTTGGGCAATGTCCGTGTTGGGCATACATTGCTTGGACATGGGCATGGGGTATGTATGTGACACTTTTGGTTGAACATCTATTAAAAAAGCACTTGCAATAATTCAATTTTATCACATTGTTACTTCAAATGAGTGAAATACCTATATTAAACACTTTTTTACATAAAGACCTTATTTATTCTAAAAAATAAAAGAAAAGTGTTAAATAAAATGAATATTTAGTAGTGTCCATGTGTCTTGTTTGTGGATTTGATGGGTTCGACGTGTGGATACATACCTGTACGCGACACATTTACCTGGGTCCATGTAAAGCTTGTGGTACATTGAAACGATTGTGTTTCAAGCTGGGCTTGTATAATCTGTATGCTCCATCTTGAGGGGGAGTTTTAGGGAGATTGGGTTTTATTGTAATTCTGTTGAATGGTTAAGGGCATTTTCAAAATATTGTTATAAATTTTTTATAATCTTGCTATCTCTGATTCTCTGTGTATATTGGAAAGTGGGAATCTGATTGTATCAGTTCTCTATTCCACGATTATTTTTCTCCTCTACTTCACTCACTAACCTTAAAAATTTTAACACAACCTCACAACTTAACCTTTTCCTTATTGGTTGATTCCATTTACAAGCACAATCTCACAAATTCAACTTTTTCCTTATTGGTCCATATTGGGGAAATGAGGTGTTATTTTTAACACATGCCTTAGACTACCATCCTAATGGCTTATTGTCTTTTGCTTTGAGTATTCCTTCATAAAATGTTTATTCATCTTTAAGAAATTTGATGCATGATTTATTATTCATTCCAAATCTTTATCGTTTTGATTTACTCACCATTGTATTTGGAACCATTCTGTAGCTATTTAAGAAAACTTTAGAGACTCTTTTAGGGTTTTCATTCAATAAACAAACAAGGCTTTTGGTATTGACGATGGAATACTTTCAGCATTTGTTGGTCATATAAAGTATAAATTGTGAAATTACTTTCCAATAATGATCTGTACTGCCAACTCGGCGTTAGTAGGTGGAAGAGCAATAATCTAAGTATCCTTACTTTGAAATTACTTTCCACTAATGATCTGTATATTGGCCTCAACCAGTTAACCTTTTTCCTTCGTTTTTGTTCTTCTCAACCAATTAACAATTTCTTTCATCGTTATATCTCAACTTTTTCAAGACTATAAGCATCGAATCATTGAACGCTGTCTCCCTCTCTTGAAAGCAGCGCTGGTACATATTCTCGCTGGCTTCTTCTATATTCTTTTTATTAAACACAATTAAATCATCTTGAAGTTTGTAATACTTCCTGCCTGATGGAGGTAACATTAATTATGTTGCATAAAGATTTTCATGGACAAACACATCCATGCACCGTCCTAACTGAAAGAATTGAATACTTCCGCCTGATCCCTTGAAAGAACTGAATAGAATATAATTTGATTAGTTTTAATTTGTAAAGTGGAGTTTGTAGTTGAGTGTTAGAGCCATCAAAACCCATTTGAACTTGAAGGACAACTTTGGGCGGCTAAAGATATTTTTTATGACGCTAGATAGAGCAGAATGGTGAAACTTGTTGGTAATGATTTTGTTGAGTTTTACCCACTTTAATTATCCAATGGTAATAATGTATAGCTTCTATTGTTTCACAACTTCCCTTTGTCACTGGGTACTGGATACTAAAGCTTCGTGATCTATCAATATAGGGAGCCATGTTGTTTGGGAAGCATTTGGAGGTGAACTTTTCAAAGCATCCGAACATTACAACAGGTGCTGATACACATGAGTACATGAATTCAAATCTCAACCGCTTCAACCGTAATGCTGCAAAGAATTATCGCTATTGCTGCTCCCCAACCAAGATGATCCACCTGTCTTCCCTCACCCAGGACGTCACCGAGGAAGAGATTGTGGCCCACCTGGCAGAACATGGCACCATTGTCAATAGCAAGCTCTTTGAGATGAATGGTAAGAAGCAGGCCCTTGTCCTGTTTGAAACTGAGGAGCAGGCCACTGAAGCCCTTGTGTGCAAGCATGCTAGCTCCCTTGGCGGTACAATGATCCGAATTTCTTTTTCCCAGCTGCAGACCATCTAAGGACCTCTTATACTGAAAGGGTAACAAGGGTAAATGTGTCATGCAAAGGACATTTATGTGCCAGTGGCACTTTTAGTTAACTCTTTTATGTTATTTCTTGCAACTGAAGTTAACTGCTTTTGTATTGGTGGACTGCTCTTCGCTTTTGTTTAGGTCCCTTCTCATCTTTTTATGCCTGTACCTATTGTTTCTGGTTTCCTTAACCTCAGGCAAGGATCCATCATTTATGGGTGTGCTGGATTTTGTAGAATGGAAGAAGAGGATGACAAGGATTTAAATCCTCGTCATTAAAGAGATGCGTTCTTGTCTTCTTAATCCATATGTACTTTATTTTACTTTGTAATCGGTTTTCTGCTGCTTTCTTCCCCTCGATGTTTCTCTCTCTCTCTATCTCCCCTGGTGTTCCGTTTCTCTTGATTTTGTTCCTTGCTATTATAGAGTAAGCACGTGGTCGTTGGCATTATTAACAAACTAGTACTAATTAACCATTGATGTCATCTGTTCGATCACAATTGTGAATTGTTGGGTCAATTACCTGGATTAGGATTGAGGCTGTGGATCGGTTATTTATTACATTGAAACATGTTCAAATTGCATATGAGATGAAGTGTGGACTGCAAAAAGTATGTTGGTGACATTTAGGCGTAGGGTGCAAAACCACATTCAACTTTCCAAGAAGTGCAATTTTCATTTTTGGTTTTTGTCTTTTCCTAAATGAAATGGCAAAATTGTTTAGATCTCACGAATGTGTGATTTATGTGAGGTTGATTTGGCCGGCGCACAATTCTATACAGGGGACTGGTTTCAAATCCTCTTCCCATCCTCGTTTGTCAATTAAGATCTCCGCCATTCTGTCTCCATAATGAAAGTGCACACGCATCGAGATTCTTATCACAAATAATAAAGCAATCACAAACAAATATAAACATTTATTGTTTGGTACAACTCCATTTTATGTGGAATATTAAGTCTAGATGCTTACCCATAATTTCTGGAGATTTATTTAAATGTTTTAAATTAATGACCCGCATGAATATTAGTTTTAATGGATTTTGTCCCTGATAGAATTGCCATTAATGCATTTTATGTGGAATATTAAGTCTAGATGCTTACCCATAATTTCTGGAGATTTATTTAAATGTTTTAATTGTATTTTTATTTAATTATATGTCTATTTGATTAATTGCTTTTATATTTAATTGTATGATTAGTTGATTATTTGCTTTATTTAATTGTTTTTTGGTTTGATTTAAATTATTTAATTTGGCTAATTGTGTATGTACATTCTTTTAATTGATTTCATGTGGTATGTGTTAATTTAATTAAATTGCTTGAAGTTATTTAATTGATTAGTTAAATTGTTTGTTTATTTATTTATTTAATTTTTATTTTAAAAGGTTATGGATTTGGATTGTAGTCCTTGGACCAACTAGATCAGTCTTGGACTATTTGAAAGGGATCCTAAATGGGTTGGATATTGACCAATGGGAATTAGTATATATATAATGCTATGTATATGTATATATTATGTTTTATTATAATTAATTTTTATTATCATAATTAGTTATTTTAAGTTGTCAAATGTATGTTAGGTAGTATATATATATATATATTATAGATCTAGAAAAGAGGAAGAAAGGGAGAAACATAGAGAGAGAGAGAGAGAGAGAGAGAGAGAGATAGAGAGAAACGCGAGAAAGATAGAGAGAGAGAAGAGAGAGAAAGCAATAGAAAAAAGAAGAAGCAGAAGAGATCCGTTCACGGGTAGATCAGATCAGTGGAGTAGACGACGGTAACCCGAATGCTACCGGCATTAGAGAAGAAGAACAAGAAAGAAGAAGTTTTAACTCTCGATTCGAAAGTTTAAGGCAAGTCCTCAGTTCTATACTTCTCCCTTAGATCTGTAATTTATATGTCTCTAGAATAACTTTAGAAATAATTAAAAAATTAATAAAATATGTTTCCATGTTTAAATTGATCTAGAACATAGGTTTTGTGAATATATGTTCATGTTTGTTCTTGTTGAATGATTTGGTAAATTAAAGGCTTGGATCTGATTTAAATGAATTTTTACATGTTATATTGATGTAAATTCGTGCATGGATGGTTATGGGACTTAGTAATATGCTTTAGGACCCTTAATAATGGAGAACAGGGTTGGAAAACAGGTTTGTCGAGCTGTTTCCCGAAACATCGCTCGAGCACTACGTTACAGCACTCGAGCGCTATTTTATGGGAAATAGCGCTCGAGTGCTACTGTAGCAGTTTTGGACAAACGTGTCCTGTTTGGCCCGATTTGATTATTTAAGGTCCCAAACATTGTGTATGGACTTAAGAGCAGTGGTATGTGAATTAAAAAGTATAATTATAGCAATGCATGTTAATGGAATTAATTTAGTTATGAATTTGTATATTTTATCTTATAACTTGTTTTAACATGTGAGATTAAATGTTTAGCATGAGATATTGTAATGACAAGGTCATTTTCCTCCTTCTTCCTTTTTCAGTGATTTTATTTTTTCATTTTTTTCCTATTTCGTCTTTTCCCTATTTCGTCTTTTTCCCGTTTATCATTTTTCCTTACATAACCTCACTTTTTGTGCTCAGATTTGATTCTGATTTTGCATGTATTCATGATATTTGAATTCCATGACATTTGTATTTTTACTTTTGTAAAAAATACATTCTAGTTACTTACTTTTTCGTAAAGGGTATGGATGCATACTTTATTGTAATTATTCTTGATTTTTGGGGTTTTAGTGTAATTATATAAAATAATTATTTTTCGTCTTAAGGACCTTTTTGCAATTTAATTTGGAAGATATTTTGAAAAAGGACTTTTTTGCAAATTTTGAAAAATATGACAAGTGTCACATTCTCATGGTGCCACTTGTTGGCATTGGGGTGGAGTGACTTGGATGCACAATCTATTGACATTTGGAGGATGGAGATTCACCCACTTGTTGGCCTAGGATTGGTGCACTTGTTGGCTTTGATGGTTGACAAGTGTAGGCTTAAGATTAAGCCTAGGAAGGAGCCATTGATTTGTGACAAGTGTAGGCTCACCATTTAGTCTTGCATTGTGTGTGTGTGAGGGGTAGTGTAAGAACACATAGTGAGTGGAGGATTTCTAGACCTTCCACTCACCATTTTACACTTTATCCTTTTCATTTCATTTGTTCTTCATAACCCTAAACCTAGCCACCATTGAAGGAAAGCTTGGTTAATAGCTTATTCCTTCATTTTGGCCTCCTTCCACTCACCTTAGACCAAAAACCTTGGAAGATAAAAGTTTCCTCTCACTCTCCTCTTCAAAACCCTAGATTTGTTTTTCATTTTAAAGCTTGGTTGCTTGGATTATAGAGATTCAATTCTCTATTGAGGTAGGGATGGTAGTGTGTTTATATTTTAAGTGTTTTATAATCCTTTGGGGTTTAATATATATTGTGTACATGCTTTTAATATGATGTCTTGCATATGATAGGAAACCTTCATTTTTTGACTTAGGGTTTATTGATTTAAGCATGTAGTTATGTATATACCATGTGTAGAAAGATTATATAATTTAGTAGTATGCTGAATTCTAATATTTTCACATGTGGTAATAATATAGAACTGTTGTAGAATTATGAATGTTATATACAATTTCTATTGGCTTAAGTTGTTATATTATGGTGGTGATTATTCTATATTCTTGTTGAGGACTTATTGTGATTATTTTAGAAGCTTATTGCTAAAATGTTAAGAATTAGTGTATAAAGTTTATTGTTGAGACATGGTTTAAATTGATAAATTGGTGGTATTGTATTGTGCATAATATCACGATGAGGACTTATCATTTAGTATGCCATTTTAAACTTGGAACCCTAAGACAAGGTTTGTGTGGTTTCAAAATGCATGTGCATGAAAGGTGGTTTATATGCCTTAATTATAGTGTATGAGTTTTGAACTTGATTATTGTAATGACCCAGTCATTTTCTTTCCTTTCATTTTCTCAGATTTTCACGGATATTTTTTTTCCGTTGATCTTTTCCTTTCTAAGTTCGGTTTCTCGTCACTTAGTGTCATCTTGAGTACTCGGGAATGATTTCTAAGACTCTTTTCTGTGGATTGACGACTTCCTTTGAGGACCGAGTCATTTTCACATTTTTACTTTTGTGACACTATTCACTTTTCGTCTTTTTCTCGATTGTCACTTTGTTAGCATAACCTCACTTTTCGTGTTCGGATTGGATTCCAGTTTTGCATGCATCCACGATGTTTAAATTCCGTGCTATGTGTATTTTCACTTTTGTAGGAAAGTATGCTAAGTGCTTACTTTTCTTGTAAAGGGTATAGACGCATAACCTTTTTGTAATTTTCCTAACTTTAGGGGTTTTGTGTAATTACTGTAAAGTAATTATTTTTCGTCTTAGGGACCATTTTGCAATTAAATTTGGAAGATATTTTCAAAAAGGACCTTTTTGCAATTTTCGGAAAGTGTGACAAGTGTCACACTCTCATTAGTCCACTTGTTGACATTTGTGTGGAGACACTTTGAGGCCTTAGATGATGACACATGGAGGGTGGAGATTCACCCACTCGTTGGCCTAGGATTGGTGCACTTGTTGGCTTGGATGGTTGACCAGTGTGGGCTTGAGATTAAGCTTAGGATGGAGCCTTGGATGAGTGACAAGTGTAGGCTCACAATTTGATCTTGCATTAGTGTGTGTGTGAGAGGTAGTGTAAGAGCACATAGTGAGTGGAGGATCTCTATCCCCTCCACTCATAATTCAACTTCATCATTTTTCATTTCCTCCCTCTCTTGTAAAGAAAACCCTAGCCTCCATGGATGGAGTCTAAAACCTTAAGCTTTGACCTTGATTTTTAAGGGCCTTCCATTGATTTCCAAGCTTGAACTTGGGAATGCATTTTGTTCCCCTCATCTTCCTCTTCATAACCCTAGAAGGGTTTGCCATTTTGTGTTGATTTTGCCTTGGATTCTAGAGAGACACTGCTCTAGTGAGGTAGGGGATGTTATAGGGTTGTTTCTTGCATGCTATTGATACTTATATAAGTTGTATGCATGTCTTTTGCTAATTTGAGAAATTAGTGATTTATCATATCTTACATATAAATCATTTTAGACTTGGTAAATGGCATGGCCATGAGTTGATCTTTGATATATATTAATTTGGTATGATTTAGATGAGTTTTCAAATCTAAAGATTAAATGGATTTAATTTGATTTAAATTCTATTAAATTGTATTTTACTTCTATTCCATTTTAGACTTGAGATATGGTATGACCATGATTTGGTACTTAATATATATTAATTTAGAATCATTTGAATAGCTTTTGAAATCTAGAGATTTGATTAATTTAAATTAAT